GATATTGAGGTCCAGGAAGTGGGCCATCCTGTCATCCTGCTGGTCTAATTTAAGCTTAAGTCCAAAAGGGTTGTTGTTCACAATCTGAAGAACGGTGTTCAGATCCGGCTTGGACTTCCAAATGATAAGAATGTCATCAACATAGCGCGTATAGAGAACGATTTCCGCGTTGAAGGACTGTAATACTTGGTTATCCAGTTTTCTTACAATTAATTCGCAGAGGTCTCCAGAGAGGGGGCTACCCATAGGTACTCCCCTTTCTTGAAGATAGATTCGTTGGTTGAAGGTGAAGAATGAGGTGTAGCACATAAGGTGGGCCAGCTCCAACACCTGCTTGTGGTATCCAGGTGGAGAGGCTTGGAAAAGGAAATCTCTAAGGGCACAGAAGCACGGTTCCAATTTAATGGAAGGATACATAGCTTCAAAGTCGAGAACTGTAATAAATTCCTGATCCTTCAGAGCGATATTCTGCAATTTAGTGATGAGTTCCCGCGTGTTCGAAACGGCGTAGTTATAATCTTTCAAATGGCCTTTAAGGAGCTCATGTAGACCCTTCTCAATAGGTAGGGTTGGAGATCTTGATTTGTCAACAATCGGCCGGATTTGCGTGCCTGGTTTATGGGTTTTAGCATAGCCGAATAGCCTTGGTATCTCGGGTGATTGCATGGTCGCGTTCCTTAGATGCAGGTGTTTAGCTAATGCTGAGTTGGTGAACCTGGAAACCCTATTTTGGAGCTTGTCTAAATATCCTTCATCTATTGTTCGGCATTCTGTAGAACTGATGTATTCTTCGAGCAACTTAGTGTATGTATGTTTCTTCATAAGAACAACGTTTCTGCTTTTGTCTGCTCTTGTAAGGGTTATTTTGTTAGTTTGGAGCCATTCTTTACTTTTGCTTACATTTGTCCAGAATTCATTATCCTTGTTGTCTGTTTGCTTGATTCTTTTGCTGAGAGCTGTGTTCCACCTAAAGAAATCCTTATGTTGAGCCTTAATTGGCACAAGCAGCCTTTCGATGTTCGGAATGATGGTATGCGCTGAGATCTTCGAGGGCTTCGGAGCAAACATAGGTCCGAATTTGAATACCTGAACCATTTCTTCCGGAGGTTTAATATTGTCCCAGCAGACGATCGGATTCTTTAGCCTGTGCTTGCGCGGCTTCTTCTGATTTTTCATGATCCAAAGCATTTTCTTGTCATATCTCTTGCGAAGTGACTGCTGGACCTGTTCCTGCAAGTTTATAACTCTAGAGTTGACGACCCCCAGCAGCTCCGGGTCCGTATTAAATAGAGCGTTCTCAAGATCGATTAGTTTGTGTAGGTTCGCATACATGGACTTCC